TGTTGGACAAACTCAAAGCCATTGGTGTCAGTGGCCGGCTTCTGAGAGTTCTTTCTTCTTATTTATCGAATCGGAAGCAATATGTAGATATTGATGGCCACAAATCCAGTTTGCTAGATATTTTCAGCGGAATCCCACAAGGATCCATTTTGGGGCCGCTGCTATTCTTAGTTTATGTTATTGATCTCACTGTCAACGTGCGTAGCAGTACCTATGCTTTTGCGGATGATGCAAAACTTCTGTCTATACATCGGAGAAACTCGCATTGCGAGCTTCAAGGCGATCTTAATGTCCTGAATTCCTGGGCTGCGAACAATTCACTTCAGTTTAGCTTGGATAAATGTCACATTTTGCCTTTCCGACCGACAGACTCGAATTTTGTATTAAACTCGGCAACGCTTGAAAATGTCTCAAATGAAAAAGACTTGGGTGTTGTCGTTTCTTCCGACCTATCCTGGACTCCCCACATTCGGAAGCAATGTCAAAAAGCCGTCTCAGTGTTTTTCTTAATCCGAAGAAACATTTCTTCTTCTGTCAGCGTAGCCGCTCGCTTGAATTTATACAAGTCGATGATTGTGACCGTCCTAACTTATAATTCACCAGTTTGGTTCGCTAACAGGTCAAACCAGAAGTCCCTGGAAAGTGTTCAGCGGCGAGTCACCCACTGGATACTATTATATCAAACTGAAAGTTATTTCGAAAGAATGAAGACACTGAACATCTCCATTTTTCGCGTTCGCTTTTTTCGAGTTAAACAGTTGGGAAATTAATTTATCATCTTCGTAGTTTACCTTTTGTTTGTTGTTGCGAATGAAAATAGTCTTCTGTGGGGCACATTCTTTAATGGTGTCAGCAATGTTAGATGTAAAGATGTCGAGCATTATTTCGGGATTATTATTGCTATAGAAACTTCTCCAATTTATAGCTGATAGTTTTTGTTTGAATTTGTAATTGGAGTAATTGGATTTGTCATATATTTTACGTACGTTTGATTGGTCTTACATTGTTGTTCAGCTTAAGTTCTGTAATGAATGCTGTTGCTTGGTGGTCGGTCTTAATTGGTGGTGTGAATACTATTGAATTATTTCTTAGATCTTTTATGCCTAGGTCGGTGATAATATAGTCAATTAGTCTTTTGAGTGAGTAGGTGTTAATTTGTTAGTGAAGTCCAGATTATATGGTTTTAGGATTGTATCTAAAGACGGTTTGTCGTCTTCGTTGAGATAGTTGAGATTGTAATCTAGTAGTAAAATTAGGTTTGATTTAAATGACTGTGCATGGTCAATTGATTTGGCTAGATCTTCTAAGAAGTCTGTTTTGTTGTTTCTATTTGGATTGTAGGCTAGGTTTAATAGAGTGGTTCTATCATTTTTGTTGAGTCAGGCTTTAAATTCTATCCAGATGCTATCATACTTTTTGTGCATGTTGTTTAAGTCATGTCTTACTTTTGGGTTTAACTTTTTAGGAACCAGTAACATGACCCCACCACCCTTCAAATTTTTAATTGATTCATAAGTTCTATCACATCGGAACAACTTATATTTGTCATTGTCTATGGCCCATAGTTTATCGTCATTTGTATCATTGAACCATTTCTCGGAAAATCCGAAAATTGTATTATCATTAAAAGTTTTGATAAGTTGTTTGAGATTTGAACGCTTTCTGGCAAAACTTCTACGATTAAGATGTAGTACTTTTAAGTTGTTGTTGTAGTTTTCCAGTTTTTTCTTTATTTGACTGAATTGCATGAATGGTCTTGGATTTGGGTGGATATCCCTTGATGTTAGGAGAGTGTTATGAAGGGACCTTTCTTGTTTTTTATAAGTCTTGCTTGTGTTTTTTATATAATAACTGTAATAGTAATAGCTCATTCTATTGATAAACTTTTAAAAAAATTACAGAACTATTTAAAATCTAATAATTTTTTTTCTTGCTTACAGAAAAAACTGCGCAGGATACTCGAATTAAAATGACCAGCTATTAGTTTTTTCATCAATGTGCTGTTTACAAATAGTTTCATTGCGTGTATTCTGCATAGCTGGTCATTTTAAAACGTCAGTTTAAAATAGCTGGTCATTTTAAACTGACGTTTTAAAATGACCAGCTATGCAGAATACACGCAATGAAACTATTTGTAAACAGCACATTGATGAGAAAACTAATTCTTATTTTTTTCAGATAAGACAATATACAATTACCGAACATTTTTATATCATTTTGCACCAATCAGAACGAGTAAGATTATACAAACAACACACATCACCTGAAAAAAAAACTTCTGTAGAAACAAACTGTTGAAATTGATAAACTTTAAAAACAATTACAGAACAATTTAAAATCTAATAATTTTTTTCTTGCTTACAGAAAAAACTGCTCAGGACACTCGAATTAAACAAAGTTTTAAAAACAAGACACAGACGGTGCTAAGAACGAACAAATGATTTTGAAATTCTGAAGCCGAAAACAAACGCCGATATTGAATTTTTTAAGAAACTCCGATCAAACAACTTAGAATACACGTAATTAAACTAATAGTCCTAAAAAATACGTATCAATGAGCCATTTTGAAAACGAATGAGTCCTGAAACGTATCAATATTATCTGGCAGTAAAACAAAACTGAATAAAGCTTTTTCAACTTGACAACGGAAAAACTGAAAAGCTATTTCGTTACAGTTTTAACACGTTGAAATTATTTCTAATTAAAGAAATACAAGAATAATCTTTCAAAGAATGGCTAAGTGCTTCGCATTACGCCCTAATAATAGATTGGAAGTTCGAAAACCGAGCAATTTAAAATTCTATGCTACATCAGGAAAACTAGGGTCTCTGACTAGTGTAAGTTCTCTGACGGTTCGTTCGGGCAGTAGAACTCGTGATGCTTCTTTCCAAAAACCCATACATTCGATTACGCTAGAAGTGTTGCGCTGAGTCAGATGAGTAGAATATTCTGTTCAGGTTTTTGCTGAATATGCTTTGGCAGTCCTTAGTCCTTGAATAAATTTGCTACATCTCGGATGTTATCAGCACTTTTTATCATGCCAATGCACGGCTGTTTTGAAATTTCGTGCAGATAATGTTCGTAACTTATTAAATTTCTTCCTTTAGCAGCTCAGGTAATCTTACTCAGTCATGCCTTTTAAAGGTCTTCTCTTTCTTTCAATATTTGGAGTGCATTTCTTTTTTAATTACTTGCTGATTGACTGAACTGAAAACCTTTTTCAGTTTTCAGTGCGAAACTTACGATTGAGGTAGGCATTTTTAAAAAATTCTTTAGTGAGTTGAATTCTTTCATCAAGTCAAGCATTGCCAGCTCATTTGAACTAGGTGATTTCATTATTGCCCAGTTCATGGAATTTATTTATTTTTTAAACTCTGAGATGTCTTTAGCGGTTTAATTTTTGGAGACGGGTCTAAAATTCTTTCAAAGAATGGCCATGTGCTTCGCATTACGCCCTAATAACAGATTGGAAGCTCGAAAACCAAGCAATTTAAAAACTCATAGCTCAATTTGAGAAATTGAATGACAGGCTTGACGAACATTAGTGCGTCACCGTGTTCTGTTGCTTTAGTGTTGTTTAGATGTCAACTCTCCTGTGAATTCAGAAAGGAAGATGGCGTCGACCGATATTTCCCAAACGATATCTACGCCAGGTCTCAGCTAGGCAAAAAAAGATAAAGGTTTAATATGATTGCATAAATTTAATTTTGTCTCTTGTGAGCTTCTCGAGAGTAGAACCTGAGATTAGACTTCGTATGTTAAGCTCGACTAGGTTTAACTTTTTGACTTTCAGCTCATTTTAATTTCTGCTGCATCCGTTTTTATACTTCAGCCCATCTATTTTTCAATCAATTCCGATAATTATGAATTAATTCCGGGTCTTTGAGCAAGGCAACTTCTTGAAACAGCTCTTCTGATTTTCAAGGAGATGTGTTTCAGACATGGCCTCTATTTCATTTGCTGCAGACAAGTGCACACGCATCGTTCGCGGTTTCGTATTTATTTTCTTCATCGAACTTCCCTGAACGTTTCACACATGTGAATAGTGAACCTGCTTTAAATTTTTTGAAAACTTAAGATGTCAGAGCTTTTTCATTTTTCAAATTCCGTCATTAATTCAGGCATAACCCGGAGTGCGTAAACCACCATGCTCTGCAAGAGCTGCGTTAAAAAGGATATGAAATCGAACACTTAAAGAGAGAACTTAACAGATACGTACAATCAGAGTACATTTGTGCTTTTCTGCAACACTGGAGAGCGATTAATAAATTTAGAAAGAATAAAATGAGAAAAAACGGAGTCGTCAAAACAAAAAAAAAACTCTATGGAAAAAATCTAACACGAAACAAAATATGAGCATTCATAATAAAATACTAACTGTCTGGCCAATTGTGACTCGGCACCTTATCACAGGAACTGAATTACATGTTAAATTAAGTTTGATATTTAAACGAAGAGGTCCTGCATAGGAAAACGGATCTTTTTACTGTTGCAGACCTCTTATTTTTTCATTACTTGAGAGGGCACTGCTTCGTTGCACCAGAAATACGCTATTGCACTGTACAGTAAAAAGTATTGAACTCAATTTGAGATCTCAAAAATTATCTCAACCGAAATATTCATTTACAGTGGTTCTACGGGGGTCTTAAGTGAAAACAAAAATGCATCAAACTACTCAAATCCACATGCTCAAATCTAAAGCTCGATTTTACTTTGTTATATATGGGGAAAACCAACTTGATGAGTAACAACAAAAGCGGGTCTTACGACCACTGAGGACCAAGCCTCAGAAGCGAAACTGAGAAAACGAAACTGAAAAAACTTCTGAGAACACATTGCAAACCAGAAGTACCTGGAATGTGTTCAGCGGCGAGTCACCCAGTGGATACTATCATATCAAACTGAAAATTATTTCGAAAGAATGAAGACACTGAACATCTTACCAATCTACATTTTGTTGGACCTGAGCGATTCGTATTCGAGGGATTGATTAGCCTAATTGTTGTGATAAACTTATTAAATAGTGTCTGAGATAAGACATGGCTGGTCAGAGTGTTGACTGCAAAACCTGCAAGAAGTCTATCAAAGACGAAGAGCTTATTGTCTGTCTGTGCTGCGGTACTTCCCTACACCTGAGCCAAAATTGTACAAAGTTTCCGCAACGAAGCATCGAAGGCCTGAAATTGATAAGCATGAATGTGCTGTTAATTTGCAACTCATGTGTAAGCAACAACAAACGTGACGCAATCTTTAATGAAACCGCGTCAAGAATCCAGCAAGAAAACTTCCTTGCACAATCGAATAAAATGAGCGACGATTTGAAAGCTTTGAAAGACATCCAGACAGAACTCAGCACACTGCGCCAAGAGATGAAAGTTCTCAGGCAAGAGATGAAACCTGATGACTCGTTATTAGAAGTGAAGCTGTCGAAAGGTTTCGAAACTTTTTCTGATGCTATAAAGGCAAATCTCGCGTCAGTTGAGGAAGCTGTAACCCGATCAAACCCTGCAAATGCTTCGGCACAGCGAGCCACCCGCATTGCAGACCCATGCGCGATTCGTATTCGAGGGGTTGAAGAATCCGATGGTTTACCCCTCGCCGGCCTTGCCATAGGCATGGACGAAGATAAGAAAAGGTTAGTCCACCTCGAGGTGGACTCCGCAGTTGTAAGCATAAAACGACTTGGTGGTTATGAAGCTGGGAGAGGATCTCCCAGATCGATTCTAGCTACTTTAGAAAACCAGTTCTCAAGAGACCTTGTGCTGAAGTCTGTTTCAAAAGTGAAGACATATAACAAAGTTTTGTATGTTTCTCCTGACCTGTCGATCTCTGAACTGGAATTGGAGAAAAAAGTCTTGAAGAAACGATACAATTTTATTACCGAAGAAAATGTCCCGAGAAAAGATTTAAAAATAATTAAGCTGAAACTCTTCAGGAAGGGCGAGAATGAGAATTGGGTTGAAGTACCAACCCAATGACTGACCGAACCACCGATGACTGTGGAAACTGAAACCATGATATTCAGCGTATGCACATTCAATGTACAGAGCATTCTAGCTAACAAAAGACGGAAGTCCTTTAGTAACGCTATTAGTACCTTGGACTTCAGCATCATAGCACTGACAGAAACCTGGTTGACCAGCGACATCCTGGAATCTGAACTTTACCTGAGCAACTATCAAGTTTATCGAAGCGATAGACCGACTGGTACATCTTCGCACTCTTTACATGGCGGCGCTCTGTTAGCAGTTCGGAGAGGCCTATTGCACACAGTATTGCCTATTGAGTTACATGGAGTCGCAGCTGTTGGATGTGCATGCCGCTGCGAAGGGAAGACTGTTCTCATAGTGGTAGCCTATAATCCGGATGACAAGAGTAAATACCGATGGAGTCTCGAGCAGTGGAACAAATTGTTGGAATCTGTTGATCGTCTACGGAGTTCTTATGACAGCTTTTTCCTCATGGGAGTTTTCAATCTTCCTGGGTATTACTGGAGCGTCTGGAACTCCGGAAACCATTACGAAGCAGCAGTGCTGAAACTACTAGACAGACACTCTCTTCCGCAACTTGTGAATTTTCCCACATCAGCTGCCAACTCGAACGTCTATGATCTAGTGTTCACTGACTCAAGTCCATTGATTTCGAACCTGGTTGCAGATAGGAAGTTTTGGAATCTGTATTCCGTCGAAAATCGTCCGTGCTCCAATCACTTGCCGGTCTCATTTGAAATAATGGGAGAAGCTGTCAGCGGTGAGAACTCTCAAAAAAGACTCAGTTTTTGCAATGCCGACTATGAAGGCCTGAATAAGTCCATACTCGAAAATCCTTTTATCGGCAATTGGTGGTCCAAACCGAATGTTCTTTTTTGTGAATGGTACGATTGGCTCTTCAAACTCATTTAGGAGCACGTACCAGTAAAAACTAAACACAGACTAAACGTGCCGCCCTGGACCACATCTGCCACATCGCATAAAATGAAGAAGCTGAAGATCATGAAAAAGAGACAACTCCGGAACAACAATGTGCCAGATAAAATATCAAACCTAGAACAAGATATTCATGATTCTCTTATGGAAAACCAAGCTGAATATGAAACCTTGTTAGCTGATACAAGATCAACTTCCCGTTTGTTCAAGTATTTCAGTAGTCTGAGGAAAGCAAATCCTCTGCCTAAAACAATTCGACATGAGGACTGCATTGCGGAAACTCCTGGAAAACAGTCATTCCTTTTCAATAACTACTTTCAGAGTGTGTACACACTAGACGATTCCCACAATACTACTTGTGTTATAGAAAACTCCGACCAAGTATGCGACTTTGACACATCAGGAGCTTCTGTAGTAAAAATCCTGGGGCGTATTAACGTTACTAAGTCAAGAGGTCCTGATGATATTCCTCCGGCTTTCTATCGCAATGTACCTAACATTGCAAAATCACTCAGTGATCTCTTCCGTAAAGTGAAAGAAACTGGTATCTTCCCGGAACGCTGGAAAATTGGTAAAGTCAAGCCGCTATTCAAAAAAGAAATAGGATGCTCGTGGAAAATTACCGGCCAGTAATGCTTTTGGATATAGCCCCGAAAGTTTTGGAACGTTGCATTTTCAATAGTTTGTACCTTTCTGCGTCCAAACGTCTACCGAAATGCCAGTACGGATTCAGAGCTAAACGATCCAACTGCCTACAACTGCTAGAGTATTTGAACGAAGTCTACAAAGGCGTGGACCAACCTGATACAGTTGTCGAAGCGGTGTATTTAGACTTTAGCAAAGCTTTTGATACCATATCGCACCGCATTTTGTTGGACAAACTCAAAGCCATTGGTGTCAGTGGCCGGCTTCTGAGAGTTCTTTCTTTTTATTTATCGAATCGGAAGCAATATGTAGATATTGATGGCCACAAATCCAGTTTACTAGATATTTTCAGCGGAATCCCACAAGGATCCATCTTGGGGCCGCTGCTATTCTTAGTTTATGTTATTGATCTCACTGTCAATGTGCGTAGCAGTACCTATGCTTTTGCGGATGATGCAAAACTTCTGTCTATACATCGGAGAAACTCGCATCTTAATGTCCTGAATTCCTGGGCTGCGAACAATTCACTTCAGTTTAACTTGGATAAATGTCACATTCTGCCTTTCCGACCGACAGACTCGAGTTTTGTATTAAACTCTGCAACGCTTGAAATTGTCTCAAATGAAAAAGACTTGGGTGTTATCGTTTCTTCCGACCTATCCTGGACTCCCCACATTCGGAAGCAATGTCAAAAAGCCGTCTCAGTGTTTTTCTTAATCCGAAGAAACATTTCTTCTTCTGTCAGCGTAGCCGCTCGCTTGAATTTATACAAGTCGATGATTGTGCCCGTCCTAACTTATAATTCACCAGTTTGGTTCGCTAACAGGTCAAACCAGAAGTCCTGAACATCTTACCAATCACTCTACATCTGCAAATAAGCGACTTACTCACATTCTCCAAAATCGTTTCAAATCATTATGATTAGGATTGGTTTGCTCATGTTAATTTCAATGACTCTCTCAACACCCGCTCTGGGGAAAGTGTTCGCCTAAGTGTGCCGCGAGTGAGACTCGAGAAGTCGCGTCAAAACTTCTTTCATCGAATAACCCGCATGGTTAACTCCCTTCCTCTATGGGTCGACTACTTAAATCCCATCGGTTTGAAACAAAGACTCATAAAGTTGTTCTGGATGTTCTTCAACTCTTAGTATTCAACCGAAGATGCTTGTTCATGGGTGATAAACTGTGATTGCAACACTTGCATCTGCAACGCTTCTCTAGTCGCAGGACTTTGATTCTCTGTCTGGGATTAAACTCCCTTCAGTATTTTACTGTAAAGCTTTCATAATAATAATAATTACCTTTGATGTACTATGTTTGTACACTAATGTCCCACTCAACGAAGCTAATTAAACAGCCATGAAAAGATTTTATGAGCAAACCAAGCCTACTGAATTACTTCGCAAAACTATGGAAAACTACAAACTAAACTTGGCTGTAAGGTATACTTTAAAAAAAACACTTTAATTGCACATCGAAATTAATTTCAATACATAAGTGTTTGTCAAATGTTTTCTATTTTTTTTCCTATCAGTTCATAAAAATATTATAACATCATTAGATACACATAGTTACAATAACAATAAACAAAACAAACTCGATTACAATTATCGATGATTACTTTTCACCTGAGAGCTTCAAGGTTGTTGATAAATAAATGCTATTATAAAAACTTGAAGCTTTTCCATGATACTTTACCATGAGTTGCCACAGAGGGGTCTTCTTTAAATAATAATAAATAACAGTTTTTGAATTTTATCTTTGCTTTTCTGTATGTTACTATGTCTTTAAAGTTGATTTTATCATCTGTTAGTTTGTTCCAGATTATGACGGACTTTTTAAAGAAGGAGTTTTCTATGTATTGCCCATTGTATCTGTCGCCGAAATATAATTTTTTGTTTCTTTTATTAATATCTATTTGGTGGTTATCATACTCAATGTTATAATAGGCTGGCAATAATTGATGTTGTATTTTCCAAAAGTGACATAATATTTTATAGTCCAGAAACATTGTTACTGGTAATATATTGTGTTTTAGCTTCAAGTCTGAAGATGAGTCGTATTTTGCACGATCGCAGCAAGTTTTTACTGCCCAGCTTAACTGTTTTTCCAGAGATATCATTAGGTTAGCGGATATTTCACTTAAAAAAATTGCTGGGTAATGCAAATGACTAATTACCAGTGCATGCATTATCAAGAGTCTTGTTTTCACTGGCAATGGCTTTTTGATTGATTGAAGTGTTTTTATTCCGCATGCCATTTTCCTGAGAATATTTTTGATTTCATCTTGGAATGTGAGAAACTGATCTAAAACTACTCCTAGGTATTTAACATTGGTTTTTGCCTCAATTATTTTATCATCTAGAGTTATAGTATACTTTTCATCCTTTTTCCTTGAATGTTTTTTGCTGAAAACGATGAGTTCTATTTTTTTTGCATTCAATTGAAGTGAGT